CTAATTATATAATGTTATTTCTATATTAAGAAAAAAAGAATAACATTAGATTCTGTTGATAGATGGCAGTGGTGGTGATGCCTTTGATCCCAGAATTAGGAGGCAAAGGCAGGAGGGTCTCTGTGAGTTCAAGGCCAGCCTGGTCTACAGAGCGAGTTCCAGAACAGCCAGAACTGTTATACAGAGAAACCTTGGCTCTGAAAAAAAAGAAAAAGAAAAGAGAGAGAGAGAGAGAGAGAGAGAGAGAGAGAGAGAGAGAGAGATTCTGCTGACTCACAGGTACAAATTTAGCTTCAGTGAAAATTTAATCCTTGTGAACAAGAACACAGTGGAGACAGAATTAATTGAGTATTATTAAGTATTAAGTATTATTGATAAAGAAACTGACAAACATTTAGAGTTTCCAATACAAGTCCACTTTTCTCATCACAGGTCTCTTTTGAAGCTTCTTCCAGCCTGAGAATCCACTAGGTGGAGCAAAGGACCAGGAATCGCTGACCAAGAGCATCTGTCAGCAAACTGACTGGCCCAGCTATTCCTTTCTTCTAGGCCTAGACAAACGCAGGCAGGAGACTGAGTTTCTGAACCACTTGAGATCAAATGTTTCCTAGTCGTTGAAATAGACAGTAGCCCAAGGAATAGTGAAACACGAACTTGCTGAGCAGGCCACAAGTATCAAGTACACAAGAGGCACACCCATCTGGGACTCGTTCCCCCCGGTTTGGCTCTCATTACAGATTTCCTTTCTGCTTTCCTTTGGTGGCAGATGGAATTTAGGGGCAGGGCTCTTAGCAAGCTCCTTTAGCTACAAGATCCTATGCTTAGATCACCCATCGCCCTTTCCCTGCCTGCTCTAGCCATCCCCGAGTACTGGTAGCAACCTGGTTTCCATTTAAATATGTTTTCTTTGATTCCGGGCCCTCAGATTCTAACACTTCCTTCCTTGGTTGCAGTCTTGCGTTCCTTTCTGTGCTGAGGGGTTGGTTAGCTGAACAGGGGCCAGGAACTTGCCTGATTCTACATGAAGCCTGTTACTGTGCAAAGAGAGATGACCCGTGTTTCCCGCTCCTGTCGGTGGCCTCTGTTGGCCCCTGCACTCAAATTGGAGATGTTAACTGTCTCGTGTCTCAGTCCAAATCTGCTACCAACATTCCATAACACAGGAGTCCTAAGACTTAAAGAGAAAAGCTCGGTGTAGGAGGGGAGTGCGAACGTTGAAATAACACATCTTCATCGCTCCATCTCTGTAGAGGAAAAATTTATTGAACTATTAATTACTTTGTCTTCATCCCGTATCTTCCCTTCCTCTTTGATCTAAGCGGGTACGTGTGTAGTAATTTCTCGCCTCAAAGCACTTCCTGCAGAATGATCATGTCATCTTTGGATAACATCTGAACTCACTGAAGGGAATGTTATCCATGGCTTTGAAATCAGAAGGGGCAGGAAAGGAGAAAATTTCCCGAGAATGTAAAGAAGTTTGTCGTCGATGAGTGTGGTGCGCACATGCCTTTAATCCCAGCAGTCAGAGGCAGGCAGATCCCTGTGAGTTTGAGGCCAGCCTGGTCTACATAGGGAGTTCTAGGTCAGTCAGGGGTACATATCGAGACTGTGTCTTGAGAAGAAGAGAAAGAGGAAGGGGAGGAGGATGTTTGTCATCTATGATGGAATAATGACCTGTGGGTCTCCTACTCGACTTTGACGTCATGAAAACCTTAGGATCAGACACCAAAGTTTAAACTCACTATGTAGCTGAGGCTGGCCTCGAACACCTGGTTCTCCTACTTCCATCTCCCAAACATGCCACTCTGCCACCCACGTTTCTATTCTTTTGTCCTTATAAATAATATAGCAATGGAAATTTTTCCAGTAGGTCTTTAAATATGTTTGGAATATCAGTGGAATAAATTCCTAGAAGTGGAATTACTGAAACCTTGCTGCTTGTTTGTTTGATTTGGTTTGGTTTGGTTTTCAAGACAAGGTTTCTCTGTGTAGCCCAGAACTCACTCTGTAAACCAGGCTGGACTTGAACTCAGAGATCCACCTGCCTCTGTCTCCCTAGTGCTGGGATTTAAGGTGTGTACCATTACCACCCCCTTGAAAACCTTTTGTATTATAAAATTTGATATATGTTATCAAGTTGCCTTTCATACATCAAAGTAAACTCCCATTACTGTTATGTAAAATTATCAACAGAGGAGTTACTCACTTTTAAAATTATTGTCAATGTACTGAGTATCCTCTTAGGATTTTTTTAAAAATTGCACTTATCCTAAGCATGAGACTGGACATGTTTTTATATTTTAATATCTCATTTATGTTTCCTTTTTGTTAATAGTGTTCCCTAGAACAGACTGTTCAGAAGTGAAGGGAATCTACCTGCCAGTTATATGAGGATTCTTTTAGTCTCATCATCAGGGAAAAAAAAGTCTGCCATCACAAGCTACTGGCAGATTCATGGTGTGCTGTACTCTGAATTCCTTGAGGTTCTCCCAGTCTGCACCAGGGAGTCACTGGCAGAACATCATTTCCCTTAGCATAGTCCCTAGTGGATGGTCCCCAGGGAGCAAAGGCTGAAAATAAGATGCTTCTGTGGCCAAATCACTGGATGCTGCCATTGTTTCAGAGAGTCCAACATAAGAAGAGCTTGGATAATCCTTTTTGCATCTAAGACACTCAGCAAAAGCTTTCAGAGCTGAGAGAAGCAGAAATCTAATTTTACAGAATGTCTGAATAACTTTTAAATGCTTATTTTGTGCTGCGATACTTGCTACAGTTCTTCTGAGAAAATCAAAGAATAGTGAAATCATAGTGTATCAGTCAGATGCCAGCCATATCTAAAGAACCCCTGGGAAGCCATGGGCTCTATTCTCTGTGCTGCTACTTGGAAGGAAAGTAGCTCCAAAGAACTGTACAGGAGCGCCAGTGATAAGCTAAGGAAGAAGGAAGCAGAATTGATGAGAAGGAACTATTCTGTCCGACACACACTGCTTCTTTTCCCGGAAGGAAACACTGTTAACTAGGAAGCCAGATCCTAATTTAAGGGCATACTTCTCGATTTGAAAAATTGAATCAGAATGATTAGGATGCTCTACCAAACACCTTAAGTTCGAGCACACTTGCATGTGTAATTCTCCTAGGCAAATAGTTATCCCATGTGTAATTCTCCTAGGCAAATAGTTATGCCCATAAGATGGGCAGAACCAAGTATTTCAGGGACCCTCTTACAAGTGACTTATTTTACAGATGCCAGAGTCTAAGCAGAGAGTTGTGAGGCTTCCCCAGGGCAGGCTTCTCACCACAGTGTAGTACAGGAGTCTTTCCATCAGCAAGATCAGCAATCTTAGTCCACTCTTGGCTATAACAGAATACCAATACCGAAGACCAAGCCTTATAAAAGAAAGAGGTTTATTCTAGGTGCAGGGAGGCTCGGGACCCAACACCTGCACCTGAGAAGAGCCTGCGGCCATGGTACCGCGTGGCAGATGGCATCACGTGGCAGGAGTGCCTCTGGGAGTGGCCGGCAGGCATATATGCAAGAGTAGAGGAGAATGGCTGTTGTTACACCTGCTCTTCTGAGAACAAATCCAGTTTCGTGAGGAACACATTAATCTCTTACAGGGTCCTCCTCTCACATGGGCACCAAATTTCAATTTGAGTCTTGGCGAGAGCAAACCATATCCAAACCAAACCACCATATATAGCTTTTGTAGGATTCCCGTTTAAATGCACATTTACATACTGACCTGCGCCAGTCTATTCAGACCGATATAACAAAATACCACAGGCTGGAGGACTTAAATGATACACTTACTTCTCATGGTTCCAAATCCTAAGTCCCAGGACAAGGTGAGGACAGCTTTGGTCCCAGTAAGATGCTGGCCGCTTTGCTTGGCCTTGTGTTGTCTGCATGCAACTTTTGCCATCTCCCTCCTTCATCTTAAAAGGGCACAGCTTATCATGAGGACTCCATCTTCATGCTGTCACTAAATTTAATTACCTTCCAAAGGTCCCACCCCTAATGACTATCACACTGGCAGTTAGAGTTCCGACATATTGCGGGCATCAAAACTCAGTCCACAGCAATAGGCATACATCGGTTGTTGTTAGACCCCTCCCACCATGAAGTAAACGCCATGAGAGTAGAGAATCTGTTTTGTTGACTATAATATCCCCACCACTAGACCAGAGGGATGGCTCTGTGGGTAAAGGCAGAATAGATCAAGGGCCATCCAATTTTGTAGGGTAGCTGTTAAAACAAAAGGCACCGAAGGCTGTACACTTCGAATGTGGCAAAACCAAACACTCCCAAGAAGGAATCCAGTGACGGAATAGATTAAAGAGAGACAGTTCAAGTTTGGAGTTATTGAGTAATATGATTATACTAACATTTTTTTAAATGATGAAATTTACACTAGATAGGGAAACAGCTGGTAATGGATTAAGATAGTCAGATATCTTTTTCTTTTCCTTGAAAAAACATTGATGTCTTAAAACATTTTTTTTGTTTGTTATTTTACTTTATGTGTATGGTATTTTGGCTGTATGCCTGTGGACCACTTGCATGCCTGGTAACCTTTGAAACCAGAAAAAGATCTCCTGGATCTGTTAATTACAGATGGTTGTGAGCCACCATGTGGGCGCTGAACTGTAGGCAGAAGTTTGTCTGTCCACCGGCCCTGCGGTCCCCTGGCCCCACAGTCCCACAGCCATTTGTAAATATCACTCAGAGGCTTATATTAATTATAAACTGTAGGGCCTATGGGTCAGGCTTCTTGCTAGCTAGCTCTTATAACTTAACCCATTTCTATTCATCTATATGGTGCCACGTGGCTGTGGTGTTACCGTTCTGCTGGTATCTCTTCTCACTCCACCCTTCTTTGTCTCGTCTTCAGTTCGAAGGTACCACCTAACCCTATCCTGCCCTGCCATAGGACAATGCAGCTTTTATTTATCAACCAATCAGAGCAACACATATTCACAGCATACACAAAGACATCCCACAGCACTGGATGTTGAACCCAGGGCCCCTGGATAAGCAGCCAGTGTTCTTCAACTGCAGAGCTATCTCTCCAGTCCAACTTGGGAGTCACTCAACGGTTCACAGGGGTGGTACAGAAATCCACGTGACTTTAAGGGAACAATATTGAACAGCACGTGTTGGCTTTTTCTTCTAATATTCCAGTTCCTGAAAACGTTTTTGATGATAACACTTCTAACCCTCCACTATGAGAACTTTGGCTCTGCTGGGGACCATGCTCCTGTTGCCCAGTGCTTGTACGTGCTGGCGCTGCGGAGATGCTTCTTCCGGTGACTATGTCTTGTTCTTCTGGCAGCCAAGGGGAGGGATTCCCTCCTTCTCCGCTTCTTCCCAACACAACACGCTCTTAACCTTCTGTTCTCGGGTACTTCCCAATATTGTGTAATAAGCAAGGCTGTTGATTGAAAATAGATTTGGGGTGGGGAGGGAGGTCAGTGGAGACATTTATAGTCGTACCAAGAGCAAAACATGACACAGCTGGGCTTAGAGATAAAATGTCATCTTGCTTGTAAGGACATGTATACTAGGAAAGCAAAATGACACAAGTGCCATGTTCACTATGGGCTGGCGTTTTCACAGCCTTCCTTAAACTGCTTAATTTTGAGATGTAGATATAGAAAAGAAACTGAAGGTCCATAGGTAGTAAGAGGAAGAAGTGAGATTTGAAGCCAGATCTGTGATCCATCTCTCTATCTTCATTTAAATAATTTACATACTATCAATTGTATAATAATATATTGTGGCTGGGCAGTGGTGGCACACACCTTTAATCCCAGCACTCCAGAGGTAGAGGCAGGCGGATCTTTGTGAGTTCGAGGCCAGCCTGGTCTACAGAGTGAGATCCAGGAAAGGCACAAAGCTACACAGAGAAACCCTGTCTCGAAAAACAATAATTAATAATAATAATAATAATAATAATAATAATAATAATAATAATAATATTGTATTAAACATGTATTGTTTACATGTTATAAATTGTATGATATTTACATGTTTCAAATGTAAAACTCAGTGGTTGTTAGCAGAGTCACAGACTTTTACAACCACTAACATAGTAAAATTTTCGGATCCTTTCATCCTCTCAAGAAACTGTGTTCATTAGAAGTTCTGACACAGCCACCCCTCCTCTGCCCTAGACAACCACTAATCCCATGCTGTCTCTGGTTTTGCCTGTTCTGAACATCTCTTTTAATAGTGCTGTGTACTTTGTGGTCTCCTGTGACTACCTTCTTTGACTTAGCATGGCGTTTTGAGGTTTGGGTATCAGCATTTCATTTCTTTTTACTGCCTACAAAGTCTCCTTCTAAAAACCTTTTCTTCATCCGGCCCCACCTTGCCCAGAGCCCCTTTCGTGGAGAACCAGCTGCCTTCTGCGCCCTGAGCAAAGCTAGGACAGGGACACACAGAGCCCGGGACCGTTTTTTCCTCCCTTGAAGGACAAGGCTCTGCAGATGGCAGACAGTGAGTGACATCAGGATCTGCGGTGGCTGGAGCTCATGGCACCAGCTCCTCATTGTTCTATTTTTATTCTTGTGTTAAGATTTTTTTTCAGATGGAAGCCTTGACTCAAAAGCTGCTTCCCTCGCGGACCCTACAAACCCAGGCTCGGTTCTGCTGCCCCCTGCTGTTCAGCCAGATACTGAACGGTTGAGGAAGGTCTTGTTCCTGGTAATAGTGTTCCCACTAAAGCGTTGTTAGCGGGAATGGAGAGCGGCAAGGTTCCCCCCCCCACACACACACACCTCTGTCCTCTGCTTTAATGTGACACCAGGTGGTAAGAGAGCCTACAGAGTCCATTTCTTCACCTCTCCCTTCTCCCCTTCTACCAGCCTTTTTGAAAAAGAATATTTTTGAAACAGGGTCTCATTATGTAGACCAGGCTAGCCTCAAACTCTCAGAAATCCACTTGCCTCTGCCTCCTGAGTGCTGGGATTAAAGGTGTGCTCCACCACACCCAGCCTAGAATTTTTAAATTTTAGTATCTATCATATACTAGACTTTGTGAGGGATTGTGAAGATATTTAACGTGAAACACTTGGGTCATTGACTTAGATGGAACTTGCTGTGTGGAGGGAGTAATGCCCAAATAGTTGGGTGGTCTCTTGAGCAGTGAATCCTTAGGCATCCCCTGACCATACTTATTTAAGTTATATATTCTAATGGGCTATCATAAATGTTTCAATACTTGTATACATTGATATCTTTCTATGAAAAACTGGGTATCATTTTGCAATATTGTTCTATTTATTTTTCAACTTAAAATATGTCTTGGGGATCCTTCCATGCCACATCTCTTTACTTTGTATTTCACTGAGTTTATGAATCATGGTTAAGTAAAGCTTTCCAACACCAGTGTGAGCGTGTGTGTGTGTGTGTGTGTGTGTGTGTGTGTGTGTGTGTGTGTGTTTGTGAACGTGTGTGTGTGTGTTTGTGTGCATGTGTGAGTGTACATGTGTGAGTGTGCATTCATTTATCTATTCATCTGTGCTTAGGCAGTTCCTTATCTAGCTATTATGAATAGTGCTGCAATTAACATGGATGTTCAAGGATCTCTTTCCTATGCTGATTTCATTTCATTGTGTATATGCCCAGAATGGCTAGATTATATGTTATTTGGCTTTTTGAAGAACCCCCACACTGATTCCCATAGGGACTTCACTAATTTTCATTCCTACTAACAGTATGTAAGTGTTTCTTTTTTATCTAATCCTTCCCGGCATTTTCTCTTTTTTTCCTCTCCTTTCTCCGTTTATTTTTAATTAATTCTTTAAAGTTAGCACATGTAGTGGGTTTCATCATTTTCATTTTTCAAAGGATATATTTTATGTGTATGACTGAGTACACAGAGGTGCACCACATGCTGGCAGGTGCCCCTGGAAGCCAGAAAAGGGCATTGGGGTTGGTGTTATATGCAGTTGTGAGCTACCATGTGGGTGCTGGGAACCAAATCAGGTCCTCTGCAAGAACACCAAGTGCTCTTCGCCTCTGAGCCATCTTTCTAGAACTTATTTTGGTTTTTGAGACAAGATCTCACTATGCAGTTAAGACTAACCCCAAACTCACAGCAATTCTCATTCCTCAACCATCCAGGTGCTGGGATTACAGGCATGAGTCACCACCTTTGGCTGGTTTTGGTTTACTTGATGATAATGGTTCTAAGTTGGGGAGGCGGGGCAAATATCTGTTGTTGGCTTTGCTCCTTTGGGGGGCCCACCACCCAGCTCACAAGTAAATCACACACCAAGGCTTATTCTTAATTATAAATGCCCAGCCTTAGCTTGGCTTGTTTCTTGCCAGCTTTTCTTAACTTTAAATTATCCTGTCTACCTACTGCCTCTGGGCTTTTCCTTTTCTATTCCTATATACCTTTCTTTGTTTCTTACTCCGTGGCATGCTGTATAGCTGGGTGGCTGGCCCCTCGAGTCCCCCTCCTTCTCTGGCTGCTTCCTTGTTCCTCCCAGATTTCTCCTTCTATCTGTTCTCTCTGCCTGCCAGGCCCGGCTATCCTTTCTCCTGCCATGCTATTGGCCGTTCAGTTCTTTATTAGACCACCAGGTGTTTTAGACAGGCACAGCAACACAGCTTCACAGAGTTAAACAAATGCAACATAAACAAAAGTAACACCCCATAAGATGATATTCTACCACAAATATCTGTGAATTTCTGTTTTGCATTTTTGCCTTTAGTAGCTATAGACCCTGGGAGCCTTTGCCATATGTTTGTGTGGCATTTCTTTTGAAGTATTTTCAGATCATTTGCCTGTTTCTCCTTTGGATTGCTTGTTATGTTGCTGTTCACCTCTTTGAGCTCTTTAGGTACATTGGATACTGATCCTCCATTGCATGAATAGCTAGTGAAGCCCCTCCCCTTCTGCAGGTCTGCTCCTCTTTTGTTTCCTTTGCTGTGCAGAAGCTTTTTAATTTGATGCAGTCCCACTGACCTTTCCTCTGCTTTTATTTCCTGAGCTGTTGCTGTCCTCCTACTCAGGAAATGGTTGCCTATGCCAATATCTTGACATGTTTCCCTCTAGCGTTTTCAAAGGTCTAGGTTTTATGTTGCAGCCTTTGGTTCACTTTGAGTTGGTTTTGTAGAAGAGGCAAGATAGGGGCAATAGGGACCTAGTTTCCATTTCTGTCATTGTGTCTTCATTTGTGTTCCTGTGCGTAAGCTAAGAATATATTTTATGTGTTTATTGGTTGTAGTTAATTTTTTTTACATTTGTTTATGAGTGTGTATGTCTTTGTGCATGTGTGTTTGCAAGTATACCACAGCATGATTTTGGAGGTTAGAGGACAATTTGTGGGGGTTGGCTCTCTCTCCACCATGTGGGTTTTGGGGCTCAAACTCAAGTCATCTGTCTTGGCAGCAATCACTTTTACCCCTTGAGCTATCTTATAAGTCCCACTAAATGGTTTATCCATGGCAGACCACCCCTGTGGACTTCTAAGACTGTTTATATGTGTGGACCTCAAGTCATTGTTGTGTTTATTGCAAAATAGGTACTCTGTGTACAATTTCTTATTCTGACAACTATACAAGGTAGGCTTTATTATCCTTCTCCACTGGCTGTTAGCTATTTTGCTATGACAAAATACTTGAGCATGAGTAATTTATAAAAAAAGAGAAGTTTATGTGGCTGATCTTTCTGAAGGCTGTGATGCCTGAGAGCTTGGCATGGGCATCTGCTCTGCATCTGGGGAGGGCACTCTTGCTGCATCATGATACGGTGGACAGCA